GAGGATGAGGAGAAGTGGGGATGATGACTAACTGGCTAGAATGGGAAGAAGCAGTAGTCCAAATAGGGATGAGGGGAAAACGCGAGAGATACATTACAAGTGGCGAAAGTGCCGAAGGCGATCCGCAAAGCTTGGGGGTTGTGGAGCTTACGGAGGTTACGGAGGCGGGGTTGAAAGTCCGAGGGATATTGGCAATGGTGTTTACGTAGTATGAGGTCACCAATGCAATGGACTAAGACTGAGGTGGAGTCAAAGTCCGAGGTAGGGGCTATGATGGAGGCTCGGAGCAAAGGTATGAGCGGTGTCCGAGTACAAAGTACGGGACAGTGGTGGAAGGTCGCAACTTGGTGGGAGGGTGGCGGAGGAGTACCAGAGGGAGGAGAGAGGGGAAAGGTAAGGGAGAAGGAGTGGTGGAAAGGAGAGTTGTCAGGTCCGAAGGTGAGTATCGGAGTGGACGGGGGAAGCGTAGGAGGGTGACGGGAGGGTGGAGGTGTTGTGAAGGAGGAGCGGAGTAGGAGGAGGAGGAGTAGTAGGAGGGTGGCAAGAGGGGCGGTGTTCAGTCCGAGGTGAGTATCGGAGCGGATGGAGATAGGGGAGGAGAGGGAAGGAGGAGCAGAGGTGGCATGGGGGGTAGAAGGAGGTGTGTTGCCAGGACCGGAGGTGAGTATCGGAACGGCAGCGGTAGGGTATGACTCCGGAGGTGAAGAGGGTGGAGGTCCGGAAGTCGGGTCAGGGTCGGGTATGCACGGATATGACAGAAAGCACAAGGGAACAAAGGGGATCCGAATCGGAACGAAGGTGTCTGAATGGGAACAAAGGGAAGACAGAAGCGGAGTGGTACCAAAGGTCATAAGGCAGAACCTGTGGTACATCCGAAAGGAGGTAAGGAGGGCGAGGCCCAGAGGGGCAGGAGGATGAGGGGAAGTGGGGATGATGACTAACTGGCTAGAATGGGAAGAAGCAGCAGTCCAAATAGGGATGAGGGGAAAACATGAGAGATACATTACAAGCGGCGAAAGTGCCGAAGATGATCCATGGAGCTCAGAGGTTGCGGAGGTTACAGAGGTTACGGAGGTGGGGTTGAAAGTCCGAGGAATATTGGCAATGGTGTTTGCATAGTATGAGGTCACCAATGCAATGGACTAAGGCCAAGGTGGAGTCAAAGTCCGAGGTAGGAGCTATGATGGAGGCTCGGAGCAAAGGTATGAGTGGTGTCCGAGTACGAAGTACGGGACAGCAGCGGAAGGTCGTAACTTGGTGGGGGGTCAATGGAAGAGGGCCAGAGGGAAGAGAGAGGAAGGAGGAAGGAGGAAAGGTGTGGAGGAGAGGAAAGGTGTCAGGTCCGAAGGTGAGTATCGGAGTGGACAGGAGAAGAGTAGGAGGGTGACGGAAGGGTGGAGGTGTTGTGGGGAGGAAGTTGGGGAATGGGAGGAAAGAGGGAAGAGTGGTGGAGAGGAGAGTTGTCAGGTCTGAAGGTGAGTATTGGAGCAGACGGGAGAAGAGTAGGAGGATGATGGAAGGGTGGAGGTGTTGTGAGGAGGGAACGGAGGAGTGGGAGGAGGAGTAGGAGGAGGGTGGCGAGAGGAGTGGTGTTCGGTCCGAGGTGGGTATCGGAGTGGATGGAGATAGGACAGGAGAGGGACGGAGGAGTGGGGGTGGCATGGGGGGTGAGAGGAGGTGTGGTGTCAGGACCAAAGGTGAATATCAGAATGGACAGCGGTAGGGTAGGACTCCAGAGGTGGTGGTTAAGGAGGTCCGGGAGTCAGGTCGGGATCGGATATGCATGGATATGACACACTGCTCCTGTGCAACTACCTCCATCTGTCATATCCCGGAATCCCGACCCCGCACACTCCCACCACATCACACCTTCCTAACAACTTCACCATCCCCTACACCATGCCTCCCCACTCTCCAAATCACCTTCCCTCCTGGCTGTCTCAGCTCCGGTCGGGTTGCGGCACACCGAACCTTGGCTACTCCCATCCCGGAACCTCGGTCCCGAGTCGGAACATTCGGAGACCCCGGATTTGTTCCGATATCCTGACGGACCTCCGACATCCCGTGACATGCCCTTAAACCATTCCCTCGCCCACTTCATTTATTGGAGTCACCCAACATCCTTCGGACACGCAACTCCGCTTTCGGAGCTAACCGTATCCTTCGGTGATCTCCTTCACGCTATCACTTATTAGTCATCTTCCATTCTTAGCACGACTACCTTCTTACTACCATTCAGTCGGCTAACCCCCCTTCCCCATTTGTCTTCCCCATTCATTTTCCGGCCTCCAACTCCGCCCTCCTTGGCCCGACACCTCGGTTCCCCGTTTTAGATATCGTTCGGAACCTTTCGGTACCTCTCGGTATCATTCGGTACCTTTCGGTGTTTTCCCCGTTTTGTCATTTCGGGCTTTGACTAAAGTCCTCCCCATCCACTTTTATAAATACACGTAGATTAGAACCTGTAGTTCCTCAGTTCTAATCTCGACTAAAATGCCACCCAAAGTCCCTCTGAGTGATTCCTGTCTCTGTTCTACAAGACACCTCAGACATAAGAAATACAAGGACTAACAGAGACGTAACGGAGGCACAGCGCTCCCTCCGAGTCGCTGAGGCCGCGTCCTTCTTAGAGCCTCTTGTACCATCCAGCAGAACCGGGCTCCCTGAGAAGCTTCGGTTCATCACCGGAGCCCTCGGACCCCCCTCTAGTTGAGCCCCCGCCTGCATTCGGACTCACGCATTCACCCCTTCTTCCATAACCAACGGGGTTTTTGACACCATCCATACACGTAGGAACGATACAGGAAACATGTCCTGTGTCATTTCCAGCTCAGATGGATGGCTGTCAGGGTCGCGTCCGCGGTCGAGGCGGTCCGGGCGTAGCGTCCGGTGCTGAGGACCTCACAGGGGGTGGATCGGGCGTGCGTACTGGCAGCCCCGATGTGGGATGGCGATCCCTGGCCACTTAGACTGAAGTGGGAATGTTGAGTTATTATTAAAAGGGGAACTATGCTACTTACCTGAAGTGGGAATGTTGAGAAGAAGGTTACTTCTTCGGTTCCCACCCCAGGTGTGTTTATATACATGCGGCTTGGGTCACATGAGGTCCGCCACATCACCCTGCATACAGCCGCAGTCACCCGGGTGTCCCCATGGGGGATCCCAAGGGTGTATGCTGCATGCGCGTGCACTAGGTTGCACCCTAGAGCCGTCCGGGGTCGTCCGGGGCTAGGCACGTCGTGTGTGCATCGCGGGTGGGTCAATAATACATGGATATAGGGGAAAGGTCGTCCGTGTGAAGTAGAAATAGAAATAGAAATAGAAATGGAAATAGAAGTGGAAGTGGGAGAGGGATAGAGGGGGAAGGGGTATGAAGGAGGGGTGCAGGGTGGGAGAAGGGGAACCGGGTGAGGCAGGCCCAGGTGGAGGCGGGTGAGGTGGGTGTGCCTTGACAATGGCTCATCAGCCTTTTCTGGTTGTAGGCCCTCAGTGTCAACTTGCACTGAGGCCCCAACTCGGTCTAAGGATGTAGGGGTTCTAACCCCTACTCTTTCTCACTCTGGGTGAAAAGAGATGGTGTCTATACCTGTCTCATCACTGGGTTTGGGCCAGATTGATAGCAGATCAGCTGCTGGCCATCAGCTCACTGAAGTGCTGCCTGGTTCACCCACTCCTGAGCCATCCCAGGCTCTTTGTTAGAACGGGCGGAAACGGACGACTCCGGAGTGGAATCGGAGACTTAGCGTGGAGGGACCTTGGCCTCAGCGACTCAAGCGGAGCACTGTGCCATTGCTGTTTGTCCATTTGGTCCTTAATTTCACAGTAGGTGAGCAGGAAGTCTCTTGGGGGCATTTCAGGTCGATTTCGGACTAAACCAAAACGAGTATGTACAAGCGCCGATATATATAATGGAAGGGGCAAAAGCACAAGGAAAACAAAGGGTAACCGAATCGGAGCGAAGACGTCCGAACGGGAACAAAGGGTAGAAGGAGCGGAGCGGTACCGAAGGTCATAGGGCAAGACCTGTGATACGTCCGAAAGGAGGTAGGGAGGGCGAGGCCCAGAGGGGCAGGAGGATGAGGGGAAGTGGGGATGATGACTAACTGGCTAGAATAGAAAGAAGCAGTAGTCCAAATAGGGATGAAGGGGAAACGTGAGGAATACATTACAGGCGGCGAGAGTGCCGAAGGCGGTCTGCGAAGCTCGGGGGTTGCGGAGCTTACGGAGGTTACGGAGGCGGGGTTGGAAGTCCAAGGAATATTGGCAATGGTGTTTACGTAGTATGAGGTCACCAATGCAATGGACTAAGGCCAAGGTGGAGTCAAAGTCCGAGGTAGGGACTATGACGGAGGCTCGGAGTAAGGTACGAGCGGTGTCCGAGTGCGAAGTACGGAACAGCGGTGGACGGTCGTAACTTGGCGGAAGGGTGGCGGAGGAGTAACGGAGGGAGGAGAGAGGGGACAGGTAAGGGGAGAAGGAGTGGCGGAAAGGAGAGTAGTCAGGTCCGAAGGTGAGTATTGGAGCGGACGGGGGAAGCGTAGGAGGATAACGGGAGGGTGGAGGTGTTGTGAAGGGGGAGCGGAGTAGTAGGAGGGTGGTGAGAGGTAAGGAGGAGGTGTGTTGCCAGGACCGAAGGTGAGTATCGGAATGGCAGCGGTAGGTTATGACTCCGGAGGTGAGGAAGGTGGAGGTCCGGAAGTCGGGTCGGGGTTGGGTATGCACGGATATGACACTCTTACCATCTCTCCCGGGTCTGGAACTGTCCCAGATCTGTCCGCCTACTCTGTTATGGAAATGGGAAATTCCCATTTTTAGCCTCTTATGGCCTCTGTACAGTATATTATCACGTGACATGTATATAATAACAACCTAACCAACTATTATCACCCAAAACACCCGATGTCTATGTTATTGTAAACCCCACTGTTACAACATCTGTTACATTAATTGTAACATCTTCTCAATGTCATGGCCCCCTCCTGCACCCGGACGCTATAGAAATGGGCCAATTAGGCCCCATTTTTATAACATACTCTCCCCCACCCTCTGGACTACTGTTTCCAGAGTTGGATGGGAAGAATGAGTCGCCTGAGGATGACTCTGCACTTGCCATTCCCACAAGCGCAGTACTTCTTCAGCCCAGTAGGGATACTGGGCTGCACCACCTGCAGTCAGCTGAGAAAGCCGATCGCCTCCTTTCGTTCCTGAAGACAGACAACCAGTCCAGAGAAAGGATCAAATGCTGATCCTCTCTCCCCCGGACTGAAGGAGCTGTGCAGACTGGAAACAGTCTGTGCTTCTTTCGCTGCCAATGGCAGCACACTCTCTCACTCTGAGAGGCTACCAAGGCCTCTCAGACACACACTCTCTGCCAGTTCAGTGCTGGCAGAGTGGCTCCTCAGCAAAAGCTGAGGAGCTTCAGCTATTTCTGATGCATCAAAAACATTCCAACGTGCCAGATCTTTGCACCCAATTATACTGGGTCTTACACTGTGTCAAGGCCGCAAAAGCAGTCTTGATACACTTCTAGTAACCGCTGGAAACGACAGTTTACAAATTCTTGTTGCAATGGGTCTTGTAACTGTCAGGGCACACCTGCCTGACCCGGCCCCACCCGGCCCCACTTCACCCGGTACCCCGCCACCCGGCCTTCCCCTACCTCCTCCCCCCTCTTCTTCCTTTCCTTCTTTCTCCATTCCACTCCCTCTTTACTTCTCTTTATTTTCTCTTTATTCTACACGGACGACCTTTCCTTGTATCAATGTACCATTGACCCACCCGCAGCGCGCTCACGACACGCCCAGCCCAGGTGCCTCGGGCGACCCCCGCTATCTCCAGCTTGCGCGTTCACAGCGGACGCCCTCGGGATCCCCCACGGGGACACCCGGGTGACTACAGCTGTACGCGAGGATGACGTGGCACCCGTCATGTGACCTAAGCCGCATGTATATAAACATACCTGAAGTGGGAACCGAAGAAGTAGCCTTCTTCTCATCCTTTCCCACTTCAGGTAAGCAACATAGTATTCCCTTTTAATAATAATAACATCCTTTCCCACTTCAGTCTAAGTGGCCAGGGACTGCCTCCTGAGCCGGGCCCGCCAGTACGCGCGCCCGCTCCACACCCCGCGAGACTTCCAGTGTTGGGCGTCTCACCCGGGCCCCCTCTACCCCGGACGCGTCCCTGACAGTAACCCAATCTGACATGTCCCAAGTGGAGACGTGAGACCAGATGGATAATATCCATCGCAGATTCAGGTGCAGCACTTGTTCAAGCACTGCAAACCTATCTTATTTATGTGCTGACTGGGCCAGGTGAGGCCCTAGATGTGTTATCATAACCAAGTCACGTTCTGACAGGAACATGACTGATAAGGCACCATTTTGGCAAACCCATCTGGGTTTTGGGCTGCAGTGCGCTAGCTAATCTCATTGACATGCTGACTGGGCCTGATGAGGCCCCAGCATGTCAACAGCCTGGTGTTACCCCACTCATGCTTGCGGAACCGTGAGCACTAGTGTTCTTGTACAGGGCAATGTTGAGGATTGCAAGTTGTAAAGCCGCGATCTTAGACCTCCCTGATAACTGTCAGGGAGGAGCAAGCTAGTGCTTGCCGGTACTGTGATTCCTGAGGGAAACCTCAGGTTAATTATCAAGGAATTATTCTGCTGCACGGCTACACCAAGCAGTCACCTTGGACAACCACTATGTGGGCCTTTATAGGGGGGACCTCAGGACGTTTGCATGGGGCCTAAAAGGCCTTTTTCACTATAAACATCCTAGGATATCCTGGCCATTCAGTTTCATTCATTTGTTGCAAACGTCCTCAGATGTCCTAATTCAGTTTGATTCAATGGTTGCAAATTGTCCCGGAATGCCATACTCGTCCATCCCATGGTCTGTGCACATGCTGACCACTGTCTAGAGGGATGTCAACACCGTTTCCCACGGTCTGAACACACTTTACATAGTTGAATAGCCCCTTTGAATAGCTTCCAGAATATATATTTTGAGACTGAATTGACCAATAAATCATTGAGAAAAATGCAAAATACTTTTTTGGATGCGAGTCTTTTGGGTTAGTGTGGCTGTCCACCTCATGTCTGTGCACAGTGCTGGTCATTGTCTGGAGGGGTGTCCAGACTGTTTCCCACGGTGTCAACACACTTTGCGTAGTTGGATAGCCCCTTCAAATAGCTTCCAGAATATATAATTTGAGACTAAATTGACAAGCAAGTTATTGAGAAAAATGCAAAATACTTTTTTGGACACGAGTGTTTGGGATATCAGTGACCCAGGAATTTCGATGACTTTGATGACTGTCAGTGAAATTTAGTGGCCCAAGCAAGCACTATCCCTGGGGGTCGGCAAGCCATAGGCTTGCCATGATACAGTCACGTGTGGAAATTCATAGTCTCGAAGCAAGGGTAAAATGTTAGGGGATGTAACTCCCTCTACTGCACCTTTGGGGTTTAGTGATATATAGAAAAGGTCATCGTGTAACGTTAAAGAAGAGCACAAACCAGCCAATTTTTTTCTTTCATGCTGGATATGGAGATACGGGTATGAAAATCCAGGTTTTGGCATATTCCAGGCCAAAAATAGAAAAACTACCTGGAACGCGCTCATGAGAGCCTCATTTTAAGATAATTTTCATATTGCCAGGAGAGTGTTTTTGTGTTGAAAATTTTCGTTTCGCCCCCATCATTGGCACCTCATATTTCAATTCATCGGAAGTTCCTGCACAAAACAACAAGAAAAAACACTGAAATCGGAAGCAGGAGGCTGAAAGGGCAGAGAAAGCCAGATGCAAGGAAGATCTTCTAGGTGTGGTGGTTCTATGGAATGATCTGGAGTGGGAAAAATGGGGTATGTTGCAGGAAAGAAGGTAACTGGCAAGATATTGGATGAGCGACTAGATGCTCGTAGGTGGCTTCATAAACAAATCCCCCAAAGATCCAAATGACCAGGGAAGTGGAGAAAGAGGTGGCCCTAGTTGCGGCCACCAAACATGCAATCGATATGCCTGGTCCGGTCAGAGAAAACAATGCTGATAGAGCATACGAAATCAGTGATTCCAACAGCCAGAACCGATGAGATATTGATGATTAGAGACTATCTACATGTTTTCTGATAGTGAAAAGATGATGGATCGGGAGAAAGACTTTTTGCCACTTTCTGCATGCAAATTAGATCACATGGTACTACAAAGTTAATGCGACATTGCTGGTCCCCACTATCCCAAAGACTCGCATCCAAAAAAGTATTTTGCATTTTTCTCAATAACTTGCTTGTCAATTTAGTCTCAAATTATATATTCTGGAAGGAGCTATCCAACTATGCAAAGTGTGTTGACACTGTGGGAAACAGTCTGGACACCCCTCCGGACAATGACCAGCACTGTGCACAGACATGAGGTGGACAGCCACACTAACCCAAAAGACTCACGTCCAAAAAAGTATTTTGCATTTTTCTCAATGATTTATTGGTCAATTCAGTCTCAAAATATATATTCTGGAAGCTATTCAAAGGGGCTATCCATCTGCGTAAAGTGTGTTGGGGACGTGGGAAACAGTGTTGACACCCCTTCAGACAGTGGCCAGCATTGTGCACAGACAGTTGAGCAGCCTGAGGATTGTCATGGGAAATCAGATTCAATTGCGGCATTATGTTTTGAATGTCTACCCTGAATAATACAAATTTGATTGAATCACAGAAGCATTTGATTGAATTTGATTGAATTATAGAATCATCCCAGGACATCCTAGGACATCCTGGGGATGTCCTGGTGAATGGATCAGTCTTCACCAGGATGTCCAGGACATCCACTAGTAAATACCCCCTTTTAGGCCCATTTGAAGGCCAAACAGCCCCCCCTCTATAGGCCATCATTAGATGGCTGACTAGGCTGCCCCACCCCCCCATTGAAAATACAGCCCATTATAGCATATTCAATGGTCTGGAAGTGTGAGGCAAACATAATATCACACATATAGTAAATAGCTTACACACCCATATATATACAGACAAAAATCCCCAGATAACACAAACCCCAAGGATCCCAAAACCCAACAGCATAAATCAGCAACTCCCCACTATGTACAGGTGGTCCCCTCATGTACACCAGTGTATTAGGCAGGCTAGCAGCACTGCCACATCATGACAAGGCCAAGGGGTGATAAGAATAAGATAGATCCACCACCACTCTAGTGAACACTGTCAGAGTCAGGAATACTGTCAGAAGACAGGCTGGTTTCTGTCTGAGTCAAGGTCAGAGGTTGTGGCAGAGTGTAAGGGATTAACCCCCATTATAGTGATGCTATTATTTCTTTATTTATTTGTGCTGAGATATGTAATTTACATATATAGGAGTAGTTGTAAAGGCCCGGTAGCCTTTTGCCTCTACCCCATTGAATATACAGCACATTAAAGCTTATATTTAGACAGAATATCTGAGGCCTGAGGCAAACAGGGGAACAGAACGTTACCATCCCCAAAATAGTAAGCAAACCCTTCACAGAGGTCTGTTGGAGTGCACACACACAGATGTGCAGGCAGAAATATGCGGCACATCTGGAAGCACTGTTCAAAGTTAGCAGAGTGGGATCATGGCCTCAGCAACTCAAGTGGAGTGCTGTGCCCTGAGCTTGATGTTTGGGGGAGATCCTGTATTTACAGATTGACACTTACAGTGGACTTCAAACAAGACTTGTGAGTGGAGCAGACCTGCAGGAGGAGTGTGGACTCCATGAGCATGGACTCAGAGTGTTAGACACTGGTCCGGGGTCGGCACCGAAGGTCGCCGATGCGGGCCGCTATTGGCCACGATGGCCGCGATGCCTTAGACAAGGCCTGGGGGTAGGGCATTTGGCCTCAGCAACTCTAAAGGGAGTGCTGTGCCCCCTAGCTGTCTCTTGGCCCTCATTTCGGACTCACTGGGGTTGCCTTGTTGGGGTCAGGACTTAGGGGTCATGGTCACATCGATATTAGAGCTAAGGTACTATAATGTAGTATACAGGATATATATATGGAGGTAGAATGAATAGAAGCGGACCCGGGCCGAAGGCCAAAGGGTCCGGAAGCAGATAGGAACAAAGAGTGGGGTTGGCCGCACAGCGGCCGGCAATGACCGAGGGTCAAAACAAACAATAACAGATAAATAAACGAAGGGGTGTAGGGCCACAATAGCGGCGATGGTATCGTAGTGGAGTAGGCGATGTCGCGGAGTCACGCTAGGTCGGTGCCAGAGGCGGGCTCGGGGCAGGGAGGTCGGTGTGGCTGTGGGGGAGTCGGCCAAGTGTAGGGGAGCCTAGGGGCAAGTGGGGGAGTGAGCAGGGGGCCCTCAGGGAGGATAGGGCTGAGGTCGGGGCTCGGGCAGCATCGGGACGGGCAGCTAACGGGCCGGGATGCAT